AGGATACTGATTAAATTCTTGAATAATGATTTTTTAATAAAAAATAAAGTAAATTATAATCTGCCCAATAGTTAATTTACACAATTTACTGTACATAGCTAATTCACATTAATTAACATTAGTTAATTCACATTGTGAGAATCTGTTTTAATTTTTTTACTCGATTTTTGAACTCCTACGGTCTCCCATGGCCGTAGGAGTTCCATTTAGTTTTTATTCGATAAAGTCTTATGTTCAATTAAGAGTTAAAAGCTTACCGAATTACGTATCGATATAGACATTATACTAACGTTAGAATAAATTATATCAACATTATAAAACTAGTACTAGAATAATGAAACTATTTTATTACGTGATATTCTTCGAAAACTGAAAATTGTTCTGAAAATTGAATTTTGATTTTTTTTTGGTGATACTGTATTGGAATAAAATGGAATAATTGTGATAAAAATTATATTTTCATGCAAATATATAGCAATAGATTATTCTTATTTTAATAAAATAATTAATGTTAAGCTTTGTGATCACATGCCTTACATCCTCGAATTCAAATACAATAAAGCAAAGTATTCAGAAAAATATAAATGTCGCTATCGGCAAAATTCTAACTTACTACAGATTTTTTTAAAAAAAATCAAATATCTTATTTGCAAACTTTTTTAGAAATATTTACTAAGTCCAATATTTTTTCACCTTTAATATTTGAAAAATTAGAGAATTCTTCTCCTAATAATTTTTTGATGAGAAAGTTGTATTCGTCTTCTGTAGCATAAAGAAAAAATTTGCATCCAACTTTATGTTGACCATTTCTTTGGGTATAACATTCGTCACCCAAAGAAAATGGCATAGTCTCCAACATCCCGTCCATTTTTTTAGCATTGAATGTGAACTAATATCCCAGAGTTTGTTCTTTGTGATTTAATATCCCTCCCCTTCCAATAACCTGTATTTTTCTCTAACACTTTTTCATTATCTTGTTCTTGATGACAAATCTTTAACATGTTGAAAAAA